GCGGCACCACCAGCACCAACGGCCCATGGTAATGTTGGCGATGATGTTCCCCCATTCACAGACCAGCGCCCGGGGAGATAATGGCGATGATGATGTGGTTGTTGTTACCCCACCCGAACCCTGCAGAGGTTTTTGTTACGGGGGGTTGATACCAATGTGGGGGGGAGAGACAGTTCCCCCACTTTGCCCCCGATGAGGAGCACGGTGTCCCCGGGGGGGGGGGGGGGGGGGTGTAAGTTGGGCCACGCAGCGATGGTGGTGATATATGGGTCCTCAGGCATCTAGGCTAGCGTGCTTCTGTACTGTAAACTGTACTGCGCTCTGCACGGAATTTTCTCGCTGCTTGTCAGAATGTTAGAATGTTATGTAGAATAGCGATTGGTTCTTGGTGCATGCTGCATCCTCTCGATGCTCTCCCGAGACAAACGTGGGGCGTTTCTAGCAATGATGAGCACATGAGTGAGGGGTGTTTGGTGTGCTGCAGAAGGCAGCAGTCACCACCCTACAGCAGTAGGACCTGGGAATTAAGAATTTCAAGCTCATTTTTTGTAAAACTTAAGCTTGGAGGCTTATTTGTTGTCCGAAAGAGGAGGTACTCAGCTAAGAACCCTACACTGATTATATCTCCTGGAAGTCTAGTCGATGTTGTCACCCCGCATCATAAGTAAGAAACAAGCCTGTCGAGCAGAAGAGGTTGTTGATAATAGTGGCGACTATTTCTTTAAGAAACGGCAACGTGTAGTCTATCTAGTCCAGGGGTGAAATATCCACAAGGCAAACATCGTTAATATATTTTCTCAGTGTCAAGACACTCCAAAGACATGATGATAAGTCAGGCTTCGGTTGTAACGCACTATTTGAAGCAAGTGTGCCCTCCTTGTACATGTGCATGTACCAGTGGTAATCTTTTTTGTAAATTCCAATTTTTACGCGCGTGAGCGGGAGGGGGCGAAGGTGTAAATGACACGCATATTTATTTTTTGTACCGTTGGTTGTCATCTGGGTCGTGATTGGTCGGCACTGGGCTTTTCACATCCGATCATTGGCTGCTGTTGACCGGTAGATCACTTGTTGTCACGACGTGTTCCTCCCATCCATTCGTTCGTACCATGTAGTATCTCGGGCGTGTAATTGATCAATCAGAACAACACATCTACTATTTTCCCAAGGACATCGTCGAGATAGCGAAGGGAGAGGCGCCAACGACCCCGTTGAATGGTGTAAAACAAACACTCTTTATTAAGCTGGCCCCAAGCACCGACCGGACTACCAAACATGACCATACATGAAATTGTACCCTACTAAATTGAAGTAGTTAGCTACACTGCTGTTTTGGTCACCCATTTTGCGAACAAATATTTACAAACGAACACATTTATTTTCCCTCGTTCGTGAGAATGGTAAAGCTGGCGTCTATTGCACGTTTCTCTGTGGTATTTGTATCGGAAGAAGTGCAGCAACTGCTGTGTTTCTGCCAGCGAAACTAGAGGGGATAACACAACTGAGCGAATCATACAGAGGGATATCCCCGACAGAAGCAACGGCAGACGGACAACAAACAAACTCAATTTGATGTACTGCTGAAGAGAGACAGACGAGAAAAGATTCGCGTACGTACGCAAATAAATGCATATATATATATATATGTACAACCGCCATCAATCGGTGCTGCGTATGGTATGCATACAAAGTTGCGACGCCCAGCTCGACGACCATCATCATCATCATCATCATCATCATCATCATCATCCAGCTTTCTTCACACCCAAGCACCCCACCCACAACTCGGTGGAGGCGACTCTTCTTCTCTTCTTTCGAGAGCAATACTCACTCGTACACACATAAATAATAAAAACACACAAACACACACGCACGCATGTTTAATTTACAGCAAACAAACTCATTTCTCTTCCTACCCTTCTCTCACTTCTACACCTGTCATCCACAGTACATCCTACAGTTTCTTGAAAGCAAGAACAAAGAAAGGGCGATAAAAAAATTATGTTTGTTTACAGGCAACAAAAGATTGCTTCGGAACGGTAATAAATTCCCGAATGTGGGGTAGACGGGATGTTCGTATTCAAAGAACGCCGGTGCAATTGTCGAAAAGGGAACACACTTTTTTGTTTTCTTCTTTTTTCCCGGAGTCAGTCATGAACTGCCCAGTTTGTTACTACATACTACTGCTGCTCACAAAAGCAGTACATAGTAATATTCAGTAATAATATATATATATGCATATTATCCGTAAGGCATCCGACGAAACTTTTGTTCTGGAAGTGAAGGACGAAGGACCTCACTCAGTATAGTCTTCACGCGCCGCCCTCACTGAGTGAGTGAGTGTGGTCTCTTTTGGCCAGTAAAATCGATTAAGCAAGCATATATATGAGATAAAGTATTGAATCCTCCGTGCTTTGGGGTTAGGGTTAGGGTTAGGGATAGGGTCTGCGTGCCTCCTCCCTAATCTTGTTCTAGATACTCTTAAAACCCGCATAGATAATAGGCGATCCCTTTTGGCAGCGCCCAAACATTTCAAACGAAAGATACTTGGACGTTTACTCACTGATATATATATATATATACATGCCTCTCACCCGGCCGTTCGATCTGTTTGTGTGACCGCGCAAAAGGGTAAGGGTTGCTGTATGGAGGGGCCATGATGTTTTTCACGTGCCGGATCTGTTCCAAGATCTAGTCGACGTGTGGATGGGTGGTGTGCCTCGCTGTGTCGCTTTCGACCTGCAAACAAGCCTCTTTCTTCAGCCGGGCACCCGATAGAACGACCGTTCGTTGACGATTGATGTGTCAATCGTTGTGCGTACACATAAAACCCAACAACGGTGTTGAAAACGGCATTATTTTCGCCTGGACTTCATACCGCCGGCGACGGCCATCGTTGAAAGTAAAAACCGAGGCGTCCAGGGATTCGTCCAAACACCAAAGGACCAAGCCAGAAAAGATCGATCTGCTTCTGCTTCGGATGCGTCCACTTCGTGTACGCTTTTAACTGTTCCCAGGGTACAACGCTTCGTCCGTCGTATCACATGGCATTCATTCGTCTTTCCTCATCATTCATTTCTCGGTGGCGGGAGACCCGGAACGGAAACCAGGGCAGTCTCGGGGAGGGGGGTGGACAACTAACTGCCTCAACACCAGCCCTGGTGTAGAAACAAGGCAGCAATATAAAGAGCCTGTTGTTGATTGAAGCATTACTTTGCTGATGCTCTCCTACAAAGGACAACATGCGGCGCAAGAAAAGCTGCGCCACCTAACGATACAACGAATGGACAACACTAACGACCAACAATGCAACGCGATCGTTATCCACAACTCCTACAAACTGTTTGGTCCAACCCAATCGAACGCACTACTGTCCTCAACCAATAATTGTACAACACAAGATGGAGATGGATGGGTGTCATAGCGAAAGAAATTCGAAAATCTTCCACGGAGAGATGGGAGGGCGCCAAAAATTGTCGCGAGAGACGCGATGACAATAAAATGGCGCCGTACCAAGACGTAGCACACGGTCAAGAACGTGTTCTCCAAACAAGACAACATTCACGAGTGTTGCCGGCAGCTAAATTAAAACAGGAATGCAGCATTCTCGCCAAGGCGATTGAGGAGCGTTCCTCCGCATGGTGTGTGTAGCGCCGCCGCAGCTAAGCAAAGAAACAGACAAAGAGCTATAGTAGCACGCAGCTCTCGGGTTGATCGATATACCGGCAACCCGTTCCGCCGAAATATATCACGGAATGCACAAAAACAAACATCAAGTCGACACCACGAAAGACTCAACGACACGTTTCGGCATTTCCTCCCACTCCCTTCCGCGCCTAATCCGTCTCGTGTCTCCTTCCCTGCACACCCACCCATCACCTCCTGCTCCCACAACCCTATCCGAAAACACGGAGCAACACCAACGGACACGACCGACCACGGAACCGCGGTGGAAAAGAAACCCAACTACATACCCTGTCAAGAGATTGTGAAGAAATTAGATGGAAGTTTGCCGGATCTAGAACCTGTACGACAGGCTGAAGGCGAACTCGTCATCGCTGTCGTCATCATCGCTGCTGTCGTTGTCGTCATCGCTGTCGTCATCATCGCTGCTGTCGTTGTCGTCATCGCTGTCGTCATCATCGCTGCTGTCGTTGTCGTCATCGCTGTCGTCATCATCGCTGCTGTCGTCGTCACTGTCATCATCATCGCTGCTGTCGTCGTCACTGTCATCATCATCGCTGTCATCGCCTTCCTCGATCGTGAAGGTACCGGAGCACGAGTAGAGAGAATCGTCCTCGAAGCGGGCCACCCGAATCTTGTACTCTCCAGCGTCCGCGTCGCACGGGATCTCCACGTCGTAGTCGCCCACTATCGAGGAAGAAGGGGGGCGGGGGGACAAAAAAAGGGGACTTCAGAAGATGCTTCCCGCGTATCTCCACGTTTCATGTGTGCAGATTTGAGGGTTGACACCGCTAGCTCTACGGGATCTTGACGCTGCTGTGTCGCACGGTGAGACAACATGGAACAAACACACACACACACACACACACCGCTGGCCGAACACAAAACTCACTCGAGTCCTTGCAGCCGATGGTAGGCTTGTCGCAGATAGATTGCACGTAGGTCCCGCAGTCGCCGTCTCCGTCAGCACGGTAGAGGTCTATCGCGAACCGGTCCACGCGCGATCCCACCCCGTTGTCGTAGTCGAACTGCCGCCATTTCAACAGAGAGAATCCAACAGGAAGGAGAGAGAGAGATTGAGAGATAGCCCGACAGGACAAGTTGTTTTTTTAGATCTTGATTAACAGCAGTGTGTGCGTGTGCCAACTCGTCGACAAGACTTGAGGAATAATAAAAACACACAACTGCACCCGCCACGAAGACCTCGCCCCAACAGCCTCCAAAATTAACTTCAAGAAAGAGTCGGGGTAACACGAACGACGCGAACCAGACGTTTGATTGATGCAAACCTGACACGGCTGAAACTTGGGGCTACCGTTCGATTCGGGTGTAACATCCGAGGACCACTTCGTCAAAAGGCAGAAAGGCAGTGGACCAACCGCAGGAGAAACGCGCTGGGCACGCCCAGAACCTTGTGTTCATATGCGTAGATCGACATTGTCATGAAATGTTGAAATGACATAAGGTCGATGTCCAACATCACATTAAGGAAACACGGGGTTTATCTAAACTCTTCGCAAAATTGCTCGATTGAATTTGATGAGCCGTCATTTTTGTCGTGTGCAGAGAAGGCTCAATGTCTCGATCTGTGAAACATCGTGGTGCCATTTTGTGTGAAGGAAAACAAGAACCTAAACCGACGGACAGCAAAGCCTGCGTTCGTTCTCTCACCTCGACGGTGTATTCTCCGCACGTCGTGGCCAGGTCGCCCGAGGCAGGCGAGGTGACCTCCAGGGTCGGGCCGTCCTCGTCGCCCACGGAGGGGGCCTCGCTCGAGGCAATCAGGTAGAACTCGTCCGAGCAGTCCGCGTCCTCTTCGTCATGGATGTCCCACACGCGAACCTTGTAGCCCGAGCCGGACGTGCCGCTCATGGGCTCGGGCATGACGATGTCGTAGTCGCCCTCGTTGTCCGGGCAGCCGTCCTCGCCGTACGGGCACAGGGCCGTCACCCAGTCACCGCAGTCGTCCTGTTTTAATAGAGGCGATCGCAGCGGCGGGGAGGGATCAGGACAAAGTGGTTGGCGGAGAGAACAAGATAACGGGTATGGAAGATTATGATTCGTCGTTGCTTGGCGAACTTGTCAGCTGGAGCGGGACCGGGGGAACATCTGCCGCGACCTCTTTTGAACAAGAGAACCTACAGTTGGAAAAAGGAAGCCAATCCGTATCACCGATGATCACGGTGGGGCCACCACCGCTGTGTGTTAGTCTGCACACACAAAACTGCTGCTGTACAAACGAACGGAGCAAGTGGAAAAGAAGGCAGAAAAAGCTCCTCCTGTACTATAGTACGAACAGGCATACTATACAGTCTACTGCTGTGTAGTAATTGATTTCTCCACAAACCACGGCTCTCACATTTCTACTATAATACAACAACAGTGCTTCGCGACAATATGGACAAACAATCACGATGCCGCAGGCAGTAGGGCGCCGTGTGCCGCACTTCATGCTCTTGTCGGATATTTATCGAGACATTGCACCGATCGCCGTGGACAACGGGCCCCGAAACACGGAACACAAAAGATTCAGAGTGCTGCCACCTCTGTCCTCCGACCCACAACCTTGCTCACCTCCATGCACATCGAGCCGCAGTAGTAGAGGTCGATCTCGAAACGGTTGTCCGAGCTAGTGCCGGTCCACTCCACGGTGTAGGTCCTACAAATCGCGTGCAGCAAGACGAGGTTAGTGCGGAGACTAATACTGTACGACTCAAGTCCGCTCACACTGCCGTGGGAAGAACATTAGCGCCACCAAAATACTGGCCATTTGAGTACCGCACTTACTTACAAGTGTCGTTAAATTTTTAAGAGCCATTTCATCGATCATGACAAGGGTAGCTGCTTATCTCTTTACAGAGTGTAGTAGAAGCTCTCAAAAGCGAGAGAGAATCACAGGCTTGGCGTGGCTACAGGCGCCCCCAGCATCTCGTCATGGAATCAAGACGAAAAGGGACGACGACGCACAGGACGACTCCATGCAGCATACTTGTAAAATAGATCCCGCCCTGAGAGGACTCAACAACAACAACAGACAGATTGTACAACAACAGCAGTATCCTCGGGGAACACGGTCCCTTGATTCATACACACGGTGGCTTGTTCCGGTAGGTGGACCGATGAATTTGTGGACATCAGCGCTGCTACAGCAGCGGTCGTGTGCCCGGGCAGAGGGGGGCAGCTTTGTTCTCTCACCGGTCCGCGATGACGGTGAGACCTTTCGACGGCGTGGACACCTTGAGGGCGTTGGCGGCGCCAAGCATGCCGCAGGCCAGAGCAACGAATCCAGTGCGAGCCATCATCCTCTTTTTTATCCTTGCGAAAGTGGATGAGGACAGGTTCGGAGTCTGGCTGGCGTCTGGGAGCGGCGGTACGCGTGCGCGAGGATCGGCTGGCGGCTTGGTGTGTTGGTCGAGTTGTGGTGTGGTGGGGGCAGAGGGTGTGTGTGTGTGTGAGGGATGGGGATGGGAGATCAGCAAAAGCGGCTCTAAGCTCAACGGTCTACAACAGCAGTACCGAGAGAAAGATCCACTTGTCTAAGACTCTTTTCTATGATAGAGATGGTTTCGTGGTGTCATATTATTAAGAAAAATAAATAAATATACTGGTACTTGTATGGTACTACTGTAGACTACCACTGCTGTAGTCTAGGTCAAAGAAACAGGTTCAGCAAAATTTGAATTCGAACTTGGAATCACTGCCCACGGCCCCCAACCTCCGCCCCCCCGAAGCTTGCTTGCGTGTGAATGAAAGTGCAAACACATGTACGTGTGGCGCCGTGGCGCCGCGGCGCCGCGTATCATCGTGGCAATCAGCCTGTCTGTGCTGTATGGCGCTTGATGGTGCGCGGAGCGAGATTGTTGGCGTCGTTCTTTGTTTTTCTACGACGAAACGGACACATTGAATGCTGCTGCGAGTTGTCGCTAAATAATAGTCTATCTACCACAGCAGCGGCACCAACCAGGCAAGTACTAACGGGCGGTGTTGGTTCACGATTGCATCCATCCGGCATTGCTCTCACACGTGTCGACACAGGTGATGCTGGGCAGTCTAGACTATATTTCTTGGAAGCTCGAGGATAGCAGAGGATGTTGTACGGGTGTTACTTGTACAAGTCTGTCTTACTACAAGTTTCTCATCGGTGAACAACAGCGGCCTTATCAAGTATATAGGTTAGACTAGAGCTCAGGAGCCAGTTTCCAGAAGGTTTCACTCCACGCTGTAAAGACTTCAGAACATATCCATCCCTTTCGACCCGGGGTGGTTATATCTCGAACGGGCAGTCTTTCTGTGTGATTACTCTCTAAAAAATATCGAAGACCTTGCGCACCATTTGTGAGCGCTCCTACACTAAACCTACAAGCGACATGCGTAGACTATAGCCATGACCCTATGTAAGAACTACACGTAAGAACGCCAGCCTCTGGCGAAACTACAATAGTATAGGTTCTTGAGTGGTCGCGCGTTCTGTGCATGTAACAGTGTACATCGTGTACACTCGACTATACAGCAGCCACCACCAAGTACGAACCTCCCGTACAAACATAGCGCAACAGCAGTAGTAGTGTTCTTCCATCTCCGGGCTATCAACAACTAACTGCAGTTATGATAGCTGTCGATAGGTTTTAGTTTAGGGCCGGGGTCAAGGTCTTAGGTTACGACAACTAAATGAACCCTCAAAATGAAGTGAGTAAATGAAGTGAGTATTCAGGAACCCGGACAACTAAAATGTACAAAAGGAAGCATGTAGAGATTTTCAAGTTGGTGTGGCATTCAAGATACTGCCAGAAGCATGCATCGTGAAATAGCCGCACGGGCTGCGATAGAAGCAGTTGTCGCACAGATTTGTGCCTATCCAAGGTGTCTGTCGGCCGAGATGTGTCCTTGGATACAAGGAATGACCGGTGTTCGTGCACCCACTACGGGCCCAAGTCTCCTCTCGGAAAAAAGGGTGACTCGTCAGGTCTGCACCTTGGTGCTGCGGTACGGTTGACTGAACGCCTTAACGTCCTCCTGACTTCGTTCGCTCGTTTTCGTGAGGGGGGGGAGGAGGGAGGGGGCGGGGGGGGGGA